CAATATTTCTTCTGTCTTGATATGTGGACATTAAGATCTAAGAGAAACATCATCTCCTGGTCAGAGCCTCTAATTCAGTGAAAGAGTGGAGTCAGAGTAAAAAAATATGCTCACTGAGGGGAAGGCCAGCGGCTGGAAGTTGGAGGGGCTTTTGCTGGGAGTTGCAGGGGAAGGGGAAGAGGCTGCCATTTGCAGGCGTTTGACTATTGACCATTTTGAATGGCTGTACTGTATATAATAGAGAAAGAGAGAGAGAGAGATCTGTGTGTTACTCTTATTTATCTGTTGTGTTGCTTTTGGAATTAATTTGTGATGTGTGTTCAGAAGAGATAGAGAGAGAAAGTGAAAGATATATTTTCCTTTCATGTATTTGAACTAAAGCATTTTTCCTGTTCATCAGACCATATCTACCTTTTTACTCTCAGGCTTTTGAGATTCATCAGAACCCGAATTTTGCCGTTTCAGCGCTCGGTGACGGTCATCCCAGTCAGCCACCTCCTCTATTGGTTCCTTGAACTCCACCTGGCAGATTTTACATCTGATTGGCTGCTTCAGAGTCAGCGGCTGACTGGAGGAAAAGGTGACGGTCACGTCCTTAGAACAAACAGAATGAAGATGCCCAATCTGTGCAAAAAACAAAACAACAAAAAACTTTCAATATCACATAAATACTAATGTTAAAAACAAAGATCATAGAGCACCAGTGTCAAGGTTGATGGATGTTGTTGTGGACCCAAATGCAAAGTAAACGATTCAGGGAAATTAACACTGCGGTGTATGTGTGTCGGACCCCAAAAGGGAAAAAAAGGAAAATATGTGATGATAACAGAGGATTTAAAGTAGAGTAGAGCAAATCATTTGCTTTCATTACCGATGTGGAAGGATTGCCTGCATGTTTGCTTTGGAATGACAAAAAGGCATTTCCAAGGAAGGCTGCTAAATATGCAGCCGGTCACTAAGTTGGGAGTGAGAGAAATAGTGCGATTGCAGAACTTCTGGATAAATTAGAGGAGAGCAAAGATAGATTTAAGAAGTGGATTGCATCTCCAAACTCCACTACTGCTGCCAATTTTGCTGCAAGCTTGGAAAACCGTTCACAGATCAAACATGTAGCGCTCTTATACAGCGATGTGAACTTTATTCCAGTTTTTCCCCAAATCCTCTAAATAAAATGCTGGTGACGGAGGATGTGGGATTTTGGGGTGAGAGATCTTTGCTCTGATGTATGTCAGTTCCTGCTTGGTTCCTCATGACTCAATCGGCTCCTCCCATAAGAAACACGTCCACCATAGAAAGATTTGTTTATCGTGTTTCTATGAATGGATCCTTGGCTGGTCCCCTACAGTTAATTTTTAAACATCAATCTTTGAACTAAAGTATTCTAAAGTAATTCTCAAGTATCCTCCCTCACCTCATGCTGCTATGTGACATTTGCTCCAGGTTAAACATTTAATCATGAATGCTTATTATATATTTAAGCCCACATAGTCCTTTTCTATAGTGGGATAAAATACTTAGAGCCTGTGTTGCCATATGAGGCTTACAGAAGACTTTTACATTTTCACGTCTCCAGAAAGATTTGTTTTTGCTTTTTTTGGTCCAATATGGCTCTTTGAGCAGTTTGGGTTGCCGGCCCCTGAACTAGAAGAAGCTAAGGTAAAAACTTAACAGAAACAAAATGTTCCAGAAAGGAAGATCATAACAGAAAGCCCCCTAAATAAAAACAGGAAAGGGTGAAGGTTTTATAATGGGTTAACTACCTACCCACCTTTCAGGCTTTATTTGTTGGAGAAGTTTTTTAAAACATGGATTTAGTGAATAATTTTGCATGTTCACAAAGTTTGTGATGTTTGTAAAAATATTTTAACACAGAAATAAACTATAATGATCTAAATACAATATGTTTCCATTTAATGTAATGTTTCAGAGCTTTACCTGTGGTGAAAACGTGACGTTGGGTTCACTGGGAGGCCATTCAAACCTCACCACCTGGCTGCTGCTGTGGTTGGTCATGGTGAAACTTTCTTGGTATGTACGACCCACATGGCAGTCACCAAAATGAATGATGTCATAACAACCTTTGAAAGAGAAACATTTTTTTTTTTGGGTTACACATCCTGCTGTGACCCAACATTATGCAGTAAAATCTCCCTTTTTTCTCTCAATTCCCTCCTTTGTTCATACCTCCCACTTCATCTTCTCCATCCTGCCATGACCTTCTGAAGTTATTAAAGGACACAGTACGCTGAACAGCCTCTCCTGTCACATGTATTGAGCTGTTGCTGTACTGGTTGTCCATCACCTGCACTGTCATTGTCGTCTGAAGAGTCAGCGATTGGTCGGAGCAGAAGCTGACCTCAAACCTCTTCTGTTCATTCACGTCTAGCTTTGCAGTAGTTCTGTGAATCAAGTGACCCTCTGGAGGAGAGAGAACAGCGTTTTCCAGGAAAGTGACAGAAACAGGACATGTTTTTGTTACCAGCCTGAAACAGCTTTGGATATATTGAAAACAATAAAAAAGAAATACAGCTAAAATAAAAAGAACATTAGAAAAAGAACAAAATACAAAAAAAATTTGAACAACAGAACACAACATGGCTAATAGAAAATATATACCTTTAAGTAACATTTCACAAGGCAAACCATCCGTACCTGATGAGTGGACAGAACTGCTGCTGCTCTCAGGAGGGAGTTGTATTTTTAACACACCATGTTTGTCCAGCATGTCAATCTGGACCTTTTGCAATAAATAGAAAAAAAATTTTTTATATTATCCTCCCTTCAATTAATTTTTGCAAAGACCAGGCTGTCATAGTACTTTTAATTATCCAGTGTGAACATAATTACATCTCATCCACATTAGTTTGTAACAAAGAATAAAATATTTTAATTCCTCTGTTTTCTGATTCAGTTCTGTAGCAATTAGCATGATAANCCTGAACTAGAAGAAGCTAAGGTAAAAACTTAACAGAAACAAAATGTTCCAGAAAGGAAGATCATAACAGAAAGCCCCCTAAATAAAAACAGGAAAGGGTGAAGGTTTTATAATGGGTTAACTACCTACCCACCTTTCAGGCTTTATTTGTTGGAGAAGTTTTTTAAAACATGGATTTAGTGAATAATTTTGCATGTTCACAAAGTTTGTGATGTTTGTAAAAATATTTTAACACAGAAATAAACTATAATGATCTAAATACAATATGTTTCCATTTAATGTAATGTTTCAGAGCTTTACCTGTGGTGAAAACGTGACGTTGGGTTCACTGGGAGGCCATTCAAACCTCACCACCTGGCTGCTGCTGTGGTTGGTCATGGTGAAACTTTCTTGGTATGTACGACCCACATGGCAGTCACCAAAATGAATGATGTCATAACAACCTTTGAAAGAGAAACATTTTTTTTTTTGGGTTACACATCCTGCTGTGACCCAACATTATGCAGTAAAATCTCCCTTTTTTCTCTCAATTCCCTCCTTTGTTCATACCTCCCACTTCATCTTCTCCATCCTGCCATGACCTTCTGAAGTTATTAAAGGACACAGTACGCTGAACAGCCTCTCCTGTCACATGTATTGAGCTGTTGCTGTACTGGTTGTCCATCACCTGCACTGTCATTGTCGTCTGAAGAGTCAGCGATTGGTCGGAGCAGAAGCTGACCTCAAACCTCTTCTGTTCATTCACGTCTAGCTTTGCAGTAGTTCTGTGAATCAAGTGACCCTCTGGAGGAGAGAGAACAGCGTTTTCCAGGAAAGTGACAGAAACAGGACATGTTTTTGTTACCAGCCTGAAACAGCTTTGGATATATTGAAAACAATAAAAAAGAAATACAGCTAAAATAAAAAGAACATTAGAAAAAGAACAAAATACAAAAAAAATTTGAACAACAGAACACAACATGGCTAATAGAAAATATATACCTTTAAGTAACATTTCACAAGGCAAACCATCCGTACCTGATGAGTGGACAGAACTGCTGCTGCTCTCAGGAGGGAGTTGTATTTTTAACACACCATGTTTGTCCAGCATGTCAATCTGGACCTTTTGCAATAAATAGAAAAAAAATTTTTTATATTATCCTCCCTTCAATTAATTTTTGCAAAGACCAGGCTGTCATAGTACTTTTAATTATCCAGTGTGAACATAATTACATCTCATCCACATTAGTTTGTAACAAAGAATAAAATATTTGAATTCCTCTATTTTCCGATTCAGTTCTGTAGCAATTAGCATGATAACATTCAATTATGGCTTTTAAAGGAAAAGTCTGGTCATATTCAGAATTCAAACTTCTGAAAGTACTTTAAATATGAAATTTTTACTTACTGTTCAATAAATGATAAGTATTTTTATTAAGAGTAATTTAATTTGAATGTGCTTTACTGGAGGCATCCATGTTTGTCAAAGAACACTACTGCCACCTACTGGTCACTGTGCGGTATCGGCTGTTGATCAAGTCCCAGTGCTGTGTCTGGTGTTTGTCACAACGCGCTATTATCCAAGTCATCTTGAAAACATTCTTCTTCGATATGTTGGCTAAATATTACGTGTTTTTTCTCTGGCCAGAAGTTGGATGGAAACTCTTCAAGTTGGCAATCCAACAACGAACCAGTGGTGAATTATGAATCGGAAAGGTGAAATAACTGTTTTTCTTTTATTTTACCCGATGTATTACAACATCCAACTGCCATGCATGTGGGCATTGTCAGTTTCACTATAGCTCTGGTGAATTTCAATAGTGAAGTCCTCTGGAAATCTTTAATAATTGTTGTTGATTGCAGATGTGTCTAGTAGTTCCCATGGATTTTGCTTGTAGAGACTTAGACTTAGACTTAGACTTGACTTTATTAATCCCTTGGGATTACTCCCTTCGGGAAATTGTATTTCCAGTAGCAGGAAAAATTGCACATATAAGAAAAAAAAAGGGGATGTTTAGACACAGTATATACAATAGAAAAATAGAATAAAAAATCAATTAAATAAGGTGTAGGAAGATGTATTGGGGGATGAGGATAGACAAATAAACACAGAGGGCTATAGCAAAAAAACAATGACTTAAATGACTTGTAAAGCGGGGAGAATGGCGCTAGGCTTACCGCACCGTGACGTCACTGCCGGAAGACATCAGGAATGAGGTGTTACTATATTTAGGCAAAAATGGCCGTAAGGATCAACTGATCCTTACTTGCTGACCGGACTTTTCCTTTAAAAAAATCTTTTTCTTGCAACCCAACAATGAAATTAAGTGGCAGAAATGTATATACTGTAGCTAGCACTATTTCCCGTAAACCACCTAACAGCTAAAATGTCCTAAAATCCTCATCTAGTAACTTTTTNTTAAGTGGCAGAAATGTATATACTGTAGCTAGCACTATTTCCCGTAAACCACCTAACAGCTAAAATGTCCTAAAATCCTCATCTAGTAACTTTTTAACCTGCAAAGAGTGTCACTTGAGTCTGATTAGAAAACAGTATTTTCACTTCTATACAGTGAAAATGAAATGAGCCCATCTGTGGGAAGATTTTCAAAGACATATTATAGAATTTGGACAATAATCTCTTTAACTTTAACAAGAAGGGCCACATAATTGACTGACTGTTTGATTAAAACAAGCAGAACAGTGCTGTAGAAAAGAGCGTGCAGCTCAGAGGGTACAGTAGCAGCCATTCAAAATGGCCCTTCCCAGTCAAATGCCAGCCGAATGGCAGCCCACTTCCCTCCGACTTCCAGCCACTGGATTGACCCCCTGTTATATTTTTTTTTACTCTGACTCCACCCTTTCAATGAATTACAGGGTCTGACCAGGAGATGAAGCTTCTCTTTAGATCTTAATGTAAACAAATCATGACAGAAAGAATATTTTAGTATAAAGATTGATGTTTAAAAATGAATTGCAGGGGACCAGCCAAGGACCCATCAAGGAAAGTGGGGACATTTTGAATGGCTACTAATGTACCAATTAACGGGAGGCCCACTGAAAATCACTGCCTATGTGGGAATGAAAGCTAGTGAAACCAAAGCTCCAACAATCACATGGTAGTTTTACAATCACATGACACAGTGAAGCACAGTCTTTAATCAGGTATTTAATGAGGTATTTTACCTGATCAGCAAACTTTTAAGCAAAGATTACAGGTTATTATTTTTTCACATCAAGTCAGTAAAGTTATTTCAAGGCAACCAAAGCAAATTAATGTTAAAGCCCAGACTTGTCAGGACTCCTGTTTTTGTGCCTGTGTTTTCTGTTTTTGTCTCCCTTCTTCCACCAGGAGGCGCCTGGTTCTGGTCTGCCTCCTCACACACCTGCAGATGGTTTTCTCGTTAAACGGAGCGTTCTTAAGATGCTGACTGCCACTACTTTGACGCCAGAGTTTTTGCCAGTTTAGGGTACTCTAGCCAAGCTGAGTTTGCTAAGTCAAGCTGAGTTTTTGTCAACCTGAGATTAACTGTGTTTTGTCTTTGCCTCTTGACAGGAAGTTGTCCTGCTAACTGGATCTCTTGGACCTTCACTCCCTGGAAGGATCAACTGAGCTCCAAACTGAGCTAGGATTCAAACAGGAGGTTTGGATCCACTTTCCCCAAGAGATCGTTTGAGCTTTCACTGAGAAAGGGATTAATCTCCACAACAACCCATCCAAGTACCGCAGGAAATCTGAGTGGCAGTCAGTATCTCCGTTCTCCAACTATCAACCGCATTCTGGGTAAAACCTGTT